ACACACACACACACACACACACACACACACAAACAAACACACACTCACAGACAGACAGACACACACACACACACAACAAACACACACACACACTCACAGTCAGACAGACACACACACACACTCTCACACACACGCACACAAAACAAACACACACTCACAGTCAGACAGACACACACACAATTACATTTTACGATATATTCATATTCACATAGTTTAAGTTGTAATGATGTTTCACAATAATACTGTATTTACTGTGTTTTTGAGGAAATAAACCCCAGGGTCATTGATTTGCCATGTGTGACGTGTTTCCCGCAGCATCTCCCGGATCTAACATTCCTCACCGCTGCAACAGCACCAAACATCGCATCATCTCACCCAAACTGCCCACCCCTCACCCCGCCCTCAGCGAGCTGCAGAATCTGGCCAATGAGTGCTCAGGAGCGGAGGCGGGGCTGGAGGTAGGCCCGGGCGATGCTTTAGTCGCTGTCATACCTTCAGAGAGGAAGCAGTTCTCTGGTGCGCCAGAAGATGGTGGGCGGGTCGAGGACACTGGGGGTGGGGCTTCACCGTGCTCCGCCTCTTCATCGTCCTCCTCGAGTCCGCCCCAAACGCAGCGGGCGGCGACAATCGCTCTTAGCAACGGAAACGGATTCTACGGTGATCAACGGGGCGGATTGGCAGCGGTGGCGCTGCCGCAGAATGCACTCATCGTCATGACGACGGCAGCACCGGTGGGGCGTGGCTGTGGGGAGGAGCCAAAGGGCGAGATAGGCTCCACCCGACTGTCGCTCACCCGCGCCGGCGGGCGGCTTGTTCTATCTCCTGTGCCGCCCAAACAGGACATGCCCTCCCCGCCAAGCTCCGCCTCCCCTCCGAGCCCTGCCCCACCCAATCAGGGCGTGGCCACGCTGTCACTTACTCTCCTGCCCAGCCCTGTGATAGGAGGACTGCTGCTGACCGACCGCATTGTCCCAGACACCTCCGGGATGCTCCTGCACCCAAACCCGACGTCTCCCTCGCCCTCGCTGCTCCCGTTTGACCCCGATTCCTTTCTCAACTGCCCCAAACAGGGGCAGACCTACGGAGGCCCCGCCCTCACACCCCACTCCGCCTCCTCTTCCCCGTCTCCGCCTCTTTCTACATCTCCTCAGCCCCCGTCTCTCACTCTGTCTGTTTCTCCCACGTCTCCGCCGTCGTCTCTATCCTCCCTCTCTTCTGAGACGGAAAGGAAGAGTATTCCGGGTCGTCCCTCCTCCAGTCCAGTCTCCCTGTCTCTTTCGCTCTCTCCGACGCAAACGACTCGCGCGCTGCTCCCGTTGTGTCTGGAGTCGTCATTAGGACTCGATTCGTTGAGTCCCCCACTGTCTGTCCCTCCCTCCGACAACAGAGCTCCTCCCACCGGATTCAACGCTGAATCCCCGCCTGGTCATCTACTGACCAATCAGGTCAACAGGACGACCCAGATAACACCCTCCCTCGAAGTGCTGCCGACCAGTCATCTGCCTCCAGAGGGAGAAAAGGCTGAGTCACAGCACCCTTGTCCTCTAGAAACGCACCCCATGTGCATTCAACCACCGAATCTGACCCCGCCCCCGGCCACGCCCCCAAGCGTGAGTCCCGTTCAAGTGAAGGAGGAGCAGTCTCCGCCCACTCATGCACATTTCGAATCAGACGTCACGCCCATGGACACCACCCACTGTGACCATATCGACGGCGAGGCGGCGGGGCTGACGTTTGACTCCGCCTTCCCCGACCTCATATCTGAGCTCATCACAGAGGAGCCCGTCAGCCACCCGCCCACCCTGGCTCCGCCCGTTTACCCCGTCAGGTACATGGTTCCGCCTCAGCCGACACCGTCCACCTCGTTCCTGCCCTTCCTGCTCCTTACAAACGGCTCACCGGAACAAACCCAGCGGCTGGCCAACATCACGGACTTCTCACCCGAGTGGTCGTACCCGGAGGTATGAATCTTCACATCTGTTATCTTATATTAAGTCAAAGTGAACAAACATTATTTTCTGAAGTTTAAGCATGGACTATTTTAGGGCTGCACGATAAATCTAAATGAAATCGAAATCACGATTAGGCAGAAGCTGCGATTGTCATGCGTATCTTTCAGTGAAGCAAGGTTCTGTGATCAGTAGTAAATCTCCATCCGAATGCCAGAGGGCGCTCTCGCGCAGAAACACCAAATACGCCTCACGGAAGAAACCCAGGAAATGCCTATCGCTGCAGCTGAATAAACAGAAGATTCAACTGCTTTCATTAATTCAG